GCAGCTTCATTAAACATTTCAAACAGGAGCGTGTGAGGCATTTTGCAAAAAGACTTATATTTATTCCATTCAAAATACAGAGTGCATGCATTGAATAGTGGTTTTTTTCTGGAATTTTCTGGCAATCAGTATTGTAAATTTTGCTTGTTCACAAAACTTGACAAATGAAAATGTCCTTCATCACTGACAAACATTGTTTGACACAAAAATTTGTTTGTCTAACATGATCATTAAATGAATTTTTGTTGTCAAACAATCTATTTGTCAGTGATGAAGGACATTTCCATTTGTCAAGTTTTGTGAACAAGCAAAATTTACAATACTGATTACCAGAAAATTCCCATGAACTTCATCAGAAGCCTTTGCACAATGCTAAGATTATAGTAAAGAATTCAATACACATTTTAAAATAAAAAATGAATTAACTAAAAAAATGTATTCATAAAAATTAGAGATGGTTTATAGTAATGCTTCTCAAATTTTATGCTTATGGACTAGTTTTTCATTCCAATCCTTTGTGGATCAGTATTTTGTAAAATTAAATAAAAATAGTTATAAACAGGAAGAATGTAGTTCAAAATTTTTTTTATTTTAATTTTTAGACTAAAATTTGGTTCTAATAATTTTGAAAAACTAGATTTGTGGGCCAATTCTCATCACCAGTCCTCTCCTGGTACCAAGTGTTTAATAAAGAAAAATGAGAGTAATAAAATAACATGTTTTTAAAAGACTTAAAGTCATTGTTCAATAGTTTTAGTAATGTAATATATAATGCTTGCAACATTAAGTGAAATCTTGTTATGGCCTAGTAATAAACTATTCTCAGACTAGTGCTGGTCCACAGACCACAGTTTGAACAGAACTGGCTTATGCATTTTCAGATGAAATGATTTGTGACCTTTTACTTTCCTGGCTACTATGTATACATAACAAGGGAAAGTATAGAAATCATGTCAAATTTGACCCTCAGAATTTTTTGCAATCTTGTAAGAGGGGGGAAGTAAAAAATTCCATGGATGTGCATGTGCTGTTGTCTATTTTGCTTAATATCTCAGGATGGGGTAAAAATTAAAAAAAAAAATGAAATTTGGCCTGGTGGCTTATACATGAGGGTGGGGAGATAGAGGGGGGGTGTATCTCAAGAGGGGAAAGACTTAATGAAGACTTTATTTGTTATTAACATATACGGTTTTTTTTATAAAACTTATTGCTACCCTCAAAATTAAGTGTTTTGCCATTTTATAGTAATTAAAAATATAAAAGTTAATTTTTAATAAAAACTTATAACAGCCATAAAAATTACACAATTCTTGTTGCTAGATTTTTTTAAATGTGAAATTATGTATGTATATCAATAAAGTTTAATTACCTCAAATACATGACAGATTGTTAACCTGATAAAATCAAAGTGATAACTATTAATTACTTAACTAGACTTGCATTCATTTTGTAATACTAAGGAATTTATAATGTAATACACTACATAGATTAATATGAATGAATCCACACAGCAAAAGTATTTTGTGTCATAAACATTCCTTAAAAGAATCACTAGGCAATATATTATTAAAATAAATTCTTGTAACAATATTAAGAGAGCTTGCATGTTTCTTATAACAAATATCAAAAGTGTAGCATTAATTAAATTAATTTTTTAAAAATAAGAACACACAACTGTCAATCTAATACGGTTTCACTGTGGTTTTGAATATTACAAACCATACTTTCGAAAAAATATTAAATTTGAAATTACATTCTTTCAAAAGTGTTCTTAACGTCTAAGAATCTAACTGTATTGCAGTCTAATTAGCTTATTAATGTACGTTTCCTTTTAGCACTGACTCAGACATAAGACATGACAAAATCTCAAACCACTAAAAACATTAAAAAATGGGCCAACAAGAATATCTAGCCTATGCCAAGAACAATGCTGCTGACTATCAATTTCAGTTCTGTTTAATCATCTCTACTATGAACTAACATCAGCTGTTTCTGTCAATAGCAACTACCTAATGTTGCAAATGATTTTTAATTTCTATAAGAAATCCTACACACATTCAAATTTATATACAACTAGCAGATGAGCCCGGCATTGCTTGGGCAAAAAATAACAACAAACATTAAGATTATTACAGTAGTTATGTTCCAGAACATTTGACAGTGTTCTGGAATGTTCCGGAACATCCCGGAACATTCTGAAATGTTGTGGAATGCTCTCGAATGTTCTGGACTGCTCTAGAAATTTCTAGAGGGCGAAACTTCCAGCCCTTATATCTTCAACAGCACGCCCTTCAGGTAAAAACAGGAACCTTCTTCATGGATAGGGGATAGAGGGCTACCACACCATATAACTCCCTTGATAGTACTGAGACTCATTTTTGAGTTTTAGCGGCACGCACATTGTACACTTACCTTTATAATATATACTGATGATTGATTATGCATATAATATTTGAATTGTAAATATTTAAAAATAATTATATATAAAAAAAAAAATATATATATATTTGATATTTGTCTTGTTTTCATTTGTATTTATGTATAATAAAAAATAATGAGTATTTATAGAAATATCAAGAAATAATATTTAAATATACAAGGCAATCCAAAAGTCAGTTACCAAGGATATATTATTAACAGTTAAAACTGGTTTGGAATAGTTGCATAATGTTCTTTGTAATTCAATCATTTCCTATAAAATCATGAATAACAACATGCATCTGTTCCAAACCAATTTTAACTATTCTTAAACTTAAAATATATTTTAGTTAATTTTTCTTTTAGGCTGCTCTGTGTTTTGTTGTTATTTTGCTTTAACTGTAAAAATGAACGCATGGCTTATAAAAGAAAATCTAAAGACATACAAGATAGTAAATATGTGATCCAAGTTGCACGTAATATATAATTATGAAAAATATATTAGAAGACAATGGCACAGATAAAAACTACACACTAATTTATTTTAAATCGTTATTTGTTTGACAGAAGGTTCAATGGATACTGGGCAGAAACTTATTTGTCTTTTTAATAAATGAAAATCTAAGATTAGTTATGGTAGTTACAAATAACAAAAGCATAACTGTAACTATGAAAAATCTGGCTTCTATCAAGACAAATTTTATCAAAATGTTGTGTGTATCCAACTCTAAACTGTCATTTCTGGCATCTAACATATCATTCTGACATTACCATATGTCATTTTGTTATTATCAGGGAGATTATCTAAACCTCTAATAAAAATATTTTTAATTACTTCTTGGAAGCTCATCCTGTTCTCATTAACAATTATATACATTTAATCTGAATAACCGAATTATTAGAAAACTTTATAGGAAAATGTAAACACAAATGTTTTGTGTAATATGTTTTTATTTATTGCTATCATATGTTATAATTTACATGATGTGGCATTCTCTATATTTTAAAGCTAAAAAATTATAACCAATTTTAGACCATTGTAAAAAACAAAAAAAGATTTTTAAAATTTAATTTAAAATTTATTAGAAAAGCCAATTTAGTTTCAAAACACAGTAATATTAACAACCAGCATTGTCTATATACTCTGACAATTTGACTACATTTCTATGTGAATGCAATATTTCCTTGTATTTTTATTTTATCTTTTATAATATAAAAAAATAATAATAATTAAAAAATTACAGAGCAAGTTTTTCTTAACTCCAATTACCTCATTAAAGCTTATTACACAGTTCTAGTCACAGTACAAATGTACAGTACATATACATATAATGAATTGATTATGAAAATTGTGTGTATTTAAGTCTAAGAGCACTTCTCAAAATAAAGAAATTCACAAAGAAGAATAAAATACACATTTATGAGACTAAATCTCACCATCAAGTCAAAATATTCATTTTGACAAACAATCTGATAAGATTTGGTCTCAAAAATGTTTATCTTATTGCTTTTCGTGAACTTCTTTATCTTAAAAAATGTGTTTAAATTTATCATAAAGATTTGAAATGATGATATATCAATCATTATATTGCAAAGCATAATGTTAAAATTGTGAAAAAAGCTGGCAACAGTGTTGCTAGACTTTCCTCGCATTATTTGTTTTCATCTCTCAAAAGTAATGGTAGCAATTATTAGACTGGTTTGAAAAATATTAAGGAAGCGGGGGCCACATCTTCTAAACAGATTTGATTTTCTTAAAAACTGCTATAAACATTTCCTCTTAATACACAAACTTCCGTGCAAAATAGAAGTGGTTCCGTTCCCCAAACACTGGGAGTTTGGTCATGGGTTCACACCTGGCCATGTGGAGTTTTCCGAGTTTCCTCCACGTCTGTAATACCCAAATGGGGGCCAGTTACCCTTATAAAGACCTCCCGGAAGGCATTCCCCCTAGGCAGATTACCCAAGTGTTGCATTGCCATAACTTCACCAAACCAAGCCAAATGCTTGCAAAATAGCAGAAATTTTTGACAAAAGGAGTTAAGCTTCAAAATGGGTGAAAAAACATGCCCCGTACATACAAAAAACCCCCAACTTTTTGTATTTCTTGACGTTTCGAAATCCCCAGTCCAAATAACGTAAAGATCTCGTAGGACATTTATTCGAACGATGACCGTACTATCCCTCCATTATATAACAGCTGGAAGATAAAATGCCAAATTAATGGTAAATGTATTCTTTCATTCCATTACAGGAAAACACATTAAAGGCACGATCCTGTACATTTTTCTCAGCAGTAGAATGAGAGCCAAGTTTAGTGAAATCATATAAAGACATTATGAAAAAAATATTTTGTATGTTTACATAAAAGCAATCTCAATAGATTAAAATTAGACTGTTGTAAGCATTATCACATTTTCAATCTAACCTGTTGCTAATGCATAAAAGAAGAAATAAGAAAGATAATCAGATTTACATTTTAAAAATGATTATAATTTGTAATTTCAATCATATCTTGCTTTAATAATTCATAACAGATTTAATATTTAAAAGTTTAAAGTCAAACTTATTGATCTACTTACAGCTGATAGAGTAACTATCAAAGGTATCACACCAGCAAAATAACAACCTAATAACATGGCCAAACATAACAATAACAACACAACGATCTCGTTCATCTTCTTAGTATAATGTATATACGTATTCTTAAAAGAAAAAAATAATATTAAACTCTTTCTGTGCAATACACAATTCCACGTCTACACAGCATGCTTCCCTAAGTAAAAAAAAAAAAAAACTCTCGTCTGCCTCGATAAATAACGGTCACGTGGTACATAGTAACCAATAATACTTCCCGTTACTGATACGTTACGTATATTTCTCGGAATTGACCAATAACCAGGCGGTTTACTTAATAGTTTTTTTTGCCAAACGATAACGAATATTAAAAATTTTAAAGAAATTTTTCTTTAAATGATTACTTAAAAATTTATAAATTATTAATTATTAAGCAAAATATTTAAGTAATAAAATTGAATCGAGTCAATTTGTTATCGATACGAATTATTTAGTGCGGTACTTCAAAATGGAGCAGACGGTAGAGATTGTTTGACGTTTATATAGATTTTGAAAAAATCTAATTTCTTGCCATATTTGCACTTGATAATGGTAATTATTAAGAAGTTTTCAAGTGTTATTTATCGCATGAATTAAGCATACGTCATTTTATGTGAAATGTATAATTAATTAAGTTTCACATTTATCATTGACTGTTTAATTAAATAAAAAAAAATCAAACATTTTAAATTAGATTCTGAAGAGATGCTTAATTTAACTTTAAATTATGAAAGTGCACGTGAAATTATTGCGAATTATGTTTATTTTGAGCATGAAATTACCATAAGTTGTCACGTGGTCTAAGCTTATGGACCACAAAGCCTCTCAGTATGTTAGAAGTAGTGGCGCTTTATCCTATGAGCTAAAAGGGCAATTGTCCCCAAATAAACTCATTACTGTAATAACAATTAATTCATTCATTCATGTGGCATCCTCTTTACAGATGTTTGCAGTTGATGGACAGTTGTTCTCCACTCTTCATGGTTGTAAGCTTTTCTCAAGCTTGAGCCAGTCCAGTTTTTGATCATGTCTTGCCATGTTAGCCTAGGTCTTCCCTTTCTTTGTCTGTCCACCATTCCTTGAACTCGGTTCCTCTTATTATATGCCCAGCATACGCTGTTTTTCTTCTATGGATGCTGATCGTCAGGTTTCTTTCCATTCCAAATCTCGTAATCTCCTTATTGGTTATCCTATCTATCCGACTAATTCTTTCCATTCTTCTAAGACGCCACATCTCAAAGGAATTTAACCTATTAACTGTCTCTTGGCTTATTCATGACTCATCTGTATGTAGCCACACTGCAAATCATTATTTTAAGTATTTTTAGTTTCAATTTTTTGCATACGTTTCTATCTCTTTAATAATGAGGATATTTGTGCAAAAGAAGCTTTAGCCTTTTTTATTCTATTTTTAGTTTCATAATTACATTCACCACTAAAAATGCAGCAACTTAATCTGGGGATTTTTCTTAAATTATATTTTCTATAAATAAAAAGCACCAGGTGAAGTAGAAGTAACAGTTAACAAATTAATACAGAAATTAATTTGAAAAAATCAATTTTTCTTTATTCAAATAGCATCAGTTTATATTTACGCCTTTATTTAGTCTCATTAAGTAATTTCTTCTGTCATCGTGTTAACATTGTAGGTGTGATTGATGCACAACTTTTTTGTATTCTCTTGTTCATATCCTCTTTGATTGTTGTAACTGCAATTGACCATTGGTCACAGGCAAAAGAATTCACAACAGATCAGACATCATATTCATTGACATACAAAACAAAATCACATATATTATAGATATAGCTGTACCAAAACCCACAAAATACGAAATATATACAGTGAAATAATTAGCAAATACATAGAACAGAATGCTACAGAGCCTTAAATGAGTAAGAAACTTGAAAAAATTAAATAGAGAAAGATTCAATATAGATAATTTTAAGTATATTTGTTGTCGCTGACATGTCAAGATGCCATACTACCATGCAGATCATAATTTGGCATCATTCCCAGCAGGAGCCATACCTATACATTCCCAACGCTCATGAATGGCAATACGGCAGTATGGCTCTTGCTGGGAATGATGTCATATTAGATGTAGAGTAATTAAGTGGTAAATAAGATAATTGCTGTAAATATTATTGTTGACTTTATTAAGACTCTACAATAACTTATTCAATTACATGCATTCAAGAGTCTATTGCTTAGATCTTATTCACTAGAGAATTAACATAAACTAAACTTGACAGTCTATAAGTAGTTCTCCAAAAATCATTATATAGAAAGGAAGGAATTACTGAAAATTTATCAGCTTTTCTAGATATGGGATGAATTTTAGTGTCTAATAATATCAATTGAAATGATTGATATATAAAAAATGGGAGAGAACTAAGATGAGGAATATTGTAAGAGTTTGCAACTTTATTTTAGTAGTATATTACTGTCCTCACAATAATTATTAGTGGCCTTTCTTGGAATGTAACCAACTGCAATAAAAAGGAACATAGAGAAGATGACAAACATATTAAGGAAAGGTAGAGAAGTGGAAGAAAAAAGAGGTAGAGAAGTGGGCTGCTTGGGTAGAGAAGTGGAAGAAAAAAGAGAGAGACTTGGAACTAGACTGAATGGAGAGCAGACCATGAAGGTTGGCTCTTAGAGTCTAGCTATAAATATGGGTGTTCACTAGACTGTTTTCTCACATCTCTGGAACTATTGTTTTTATTTTATTTGTTTAGTTTTCATTTCGTCTTATAGTTTTTATTTCTAGAGAATGGAAAATGATTGTTTCCTGTTTGTATTGCTATATTATTTAATATTATATTGTTGCTCTTCCTATACTTGTTTGTTTTCTCTACATGCATTGTGCTTTTTTTTTTTTACTTACTCTAACAACAGTCTTTTTTCCTCCCATTGATATTTAGTTTAATCATTATAAATATAACATTCAATGATTAATTGCATGTTTATGTCATAAGACAGACTTATATACCAAATTTAACCTTGTTTTTCCTCAATTAGGAACAAACTTATGTGAAAAATTTGAAATAAGAGGCAAAGTACAGCATAATTGTAAGGAATTTAAGCTATTAAAGATATTGCTTTAAGCTTCATTTGTACTAGTTAGGAAATAATTGTAAAGAGCAATTAATTTTTTCTGTAGGCAGAGTTTCCTTGGTTTTAATATTTTTAATTTGTATACTTGCATTCATGGATGGAAAAATTACTCTTTTAATTTGTTTTTGGAAAAAAAAAAAAAATTTTAAAATGACATTTGCATTTTTTTTTTTTTGTAAAAATAATACCATCTGTATTAGGAGTGTGCTGAATATAGTACACTGATGCTCCAATTGATAAAGCACAAAACTTTTATATTATTAATTATCAATAATTTAAATATGTCATTAGTTGCCCCAATAATTCTATTCCTTCGTTCTATTCAAATTCGAACTCTGTTTGATAACTGCTGTGGTTTGAATATTAGAGCAAAAAAAATATATATATATATATCTATATATATATATAAAAATGGACATGTATGTCCCTATATCTCACTTTTTCGCCAAAACTACACATCGCATGTGAATGGTGTTTGTATGTGGTGGTAGCCCCAAGTCTCCATTCGTGCATAGGGGTGGTTGCGTCTCGATAGCTATAAGGGTGCGGGAGATATGAGGCTGAAAATGGTTGAAAGTGGCTTTCTAATTCGAATGTTTTGTTCAAATTTGTTCAAATTAAATTCAAACATAAAATTCGAATATTGGTTCGATTATAGAACGATTGTAAACGTTCCAGAAACGTTGAAAATAGTTCGTTTGACTAAACGTAAAAATTCTCTAATTAGTCTGGAAACGGGGGACCTAATTCTTGCATTTTGTGAAAACGGGTAAGATTAGCTATAATGTAATTATCTTAATCTTCACTATCGTTACTTTTTGCCCAGCGAAGCGGGTTTTTGCAGCTAGATTCTAGATTACTTAGAAAAACAGTCTTTTATATATATATAAAAAACTATACTATTACATACAAATAAAAACCCAGTGAAGCGGGATCTTGCAGCTAGTATATATATATATATATATACATACATTTAACCTTAGAACAAACAGGGTTGGCATTAGGAAGGGCATCTGGCCATAAAACCTATGCCAAAACTACATGGAAGTAAGCTATACTGTGTTAGGACATCCCCTCAAAGCAATGCGCAGTTACGTCTCCTGAAAACAATGTCAAATGAGCTGGAGCTACCAAACCAAGACAGGTTTGGATAAAGCAGTTAGTCTAGAAAGAGAACAGAAAGAAGACAAGTATAAGAATAGGTACTTTAAACATTGAATGAGAAGAGTAGAGAGTTGGTTGATCTTATGCAAAGAAGGAGAGTGAACATTTTGTGCCTGCAAGAGACAAGATGGAAAGGAAATAAAGCTAAAGAACTTGGTGAAGGATACAAGCTGTTTGTGAGTGGAGTGAATAAGGGAAGAAGGAATGGAGTTGGTATCGTAATTGATAAAGTTCTAAAAGACAATGTCTGTGAGGTTAAATGAAGGTGTGATAGAATTATGAGCGTTAAGTTGGATGTTGGTGGAATTTTCATTACGATTATGTGTGTGTATGCTCCTCAGTCAGGTAGTGGAGAAGAAGAAAAGACAAACTTTTGGACAGATTTTGACCAAGTTATAATGTGTGTTCCTATGAACAAGAGATTAATCTGTGGGGGTGATTTAAATGGTCATGTTAGGAAGAGGAAGAATGCAGAAAGAAGAGTTCTTGGGAGGTGGAGTGTGGGAGAAAAGAATGGAGAGGGAGAAAGACTAGTTGATCATGCTATGGCTTTTGATGTTGCGCTAGTTAACACATACTTTGAGAAGAAAGCGAACCAACTGGTTACATACATGAATGGAGGTAGATGCAGCCAGATTGATTTTTTCTTGTGCTGCAGGAGATAGCTGAGAGAAGTGAGAAACAGTAAGGTGTTGCTGCACAACATAGCATCCTCTTGGTGGATTGCAACTTTTTTATGGGCCATTGTAAGAATTGTGTTAACCAGATTGAACAAAGGATCAAATGGTGGAGTTTGAAAGAGGAGGAATTAAGGAAAGAGTTTAAGGTAAAAGTGTTAAAAGAAATCCAGTTTCCGGATGATGTGCAAAAATGGTGTTGCTGAATAAGTAATTGTATCTTGAAAGTTGTAGAAGAGGTTTTGGGGAAAACTTCAGGGAAGAGATTGCCAGAAGGAAAGGAACTTTGGTGGTTTAATGCTGAGGTACAAGCTGCAGTTAAACAAAAGAAAGAGGCAAAGAAAAGGTGGGATTTGATGGGAAGGCCTGAAGATAAAGAAACTTACCATTTGGCAAATAAAATGACTAAAAAGGTGGTGGCTATTGCAAAAGCAAAGGCTTTTGAAGAGGCTTATAAAGTTTTTGAAAGGAAAGGTGGTGAAAGGCAGTTGATGAAATTGCCAAAGCAAGAGATAAGGCATCAAAAGATTTTACTTCTATTAAACCGATTAAAGATGATAAAGGAGTGGTATTACAGGATTACAAAAGGGTCA